AAATCATATTCCAGAGAATTTGAGAGCAGCCGAGAACAAAAATCTCAATTTGGAAGTAGACGGGCCCTATGAAAGAGTTCTAGGTCTTCACTGGGATCCAAACAACGACGAGTTGGTTTTCCGATTGAAGCTGCATACAGTGAGTCCAGAAATTATGGAAGGAAAATCTATTCCGTCTAAGCGAGAATTATTAAAAGTTGCTATGTCAATTTTTGACCCTCTTGGTTTTGTCGCTAATGTACTGATTTATATCAAAATTTTGATGCAAGATTTGTGGAGAAGCAAAACTGCATGGGATGAGAAATTGGCGCTAGAACATGAACAAAGATGGCATAAATGGAGAAGAGTAATGCAACAAATGGAAAATCTTAGAATTATGAGATGTTATAGTATCAGTCCTACTTCGAGTTCACACATTCAATTGCACGTATTCTGTGATGCAAGTGAAAAAGCCTATTGTGCAGTGGCATATTTCAGACATGAACTAGATGAGAAGGTAGAAACAGCATTTGTAATGGCGAAAACAAGAGTTGCCCCACTGAAACAGGTCTCAATACCCAGACTAGAACTGCAAGCCGCTGTATTAGCCAGTAATCTATCGAAATTCATCCAAGATAACCACAAAATTCAGATTTCCACAACGTATTTATGGACAGATTCTCAAGTTGTTTTGCGATGGATTCGAAAAGATTCTTCGAACTTCAAACAATATGTAGCCAATCGGATTAAAGTGATTCAAACCTTAACCGATGTGATAAGTTGGAGATGGATAAATACAAAAGAAAATGTTGCAGATGAAGGAACAAAATGGACAATTAATCCGAAATTAATTTCTGAAAGTAGATGGATACAAGGACCTAAATTCCTCAAATTGACAGAAACTGAATGGCATCGGGAAGAAAAATGTACACAAAGCAAACATGATGACAATACGAACAGGGAAGAATTGAAAGAATTGAAGAAAGGATATGAAACAAACTTTGTAGCTCTGAATATCGAACAGAATGCAGCAATTCCAGAAGTGGATAGATTCTCTAATTGGTTGAGACTTCTGAGAGCGACAGCGTGGATTTTGAAATTCAAAGAATCATGTTTGCAAGTCGTTGGTAAAGTACCACCAATTAAAGAAAACAATCTTAGACCCAGACACATAGAAGCAGCCAAAGAGTTGTGGTGGAGAGAAGTCCAGAGGAATTGTTTTTCTGAAGAATTAAATAAGTTGGAAAATGGTAAACAAGTAGACAATCAGAGTAAATTATATCAATTGTCTCCATTCATAGACGAAAATAAACTAATCAGGATGAAATCTCGAATAAAATTAGCCTCATTGGTTCCTGAAGGAAATATATATCCTATAATTTTGAGTCCTGATCATCGAGTCACCGAATTGTTGGCGAGATATTTCCATGAGAAATGTGGACACCTAGGACAAGATTACGTGATAAATGAATTGAAAAAGACATATTGGATTATAAATGTTCGAGCCTTAGTGAGGAAAATATCAAGAAATTGTTTTTTATGTAAGAGACGAAGAGTGACACCAGATATACCAATCATGGGAGATTTGCCTGAAGCCAGGTTGGCTGCGTTT